ATTCAAATTTTCCCTCTATTATTGTTAAAATCTATTTTAATTTAATGTATTAAATTAACTACTACCTAAATGAAATCACATTTATCAAAAATATGATTAAAAAAAAAAAAAACAAAAACCTTTTATCACCAAACCAAATTTCGATATTGCCAACATTTTGAATTTTTCGTCTGAAATAATGTAATTTCTTCAATGTATCTGCAATAATTTCAATAGCAATTGTTGTAAGTGCTAAGCCGATAATTATGTAGAGAATAGTTAATGCCATAAATGTTTGCCTGCAATTTATTTTATATAAATTAATTGATCCTTTATAGGAAAATGAAAAAGAGAGATAATTAAGTAATTGATTTGTACTCATTAAATAACTGATTTACATAAAAAGAGGAAAATAATATTTTAATATAAAATTTATATTTATATGCTAAAAATAATATTCGAATGCTAGTAAATAAGAAGTAATAATTAAAAATTTTGAAATTAATTAAAATTTAACCTTTGTGGCACAATATCACCAAGTCCAATAGATGTCAATGTTATAAAATTGAAATATATAGCCTGAAAATTATCACAAATTTAATGCATTAATCAGATTAGAATAATTCTGACAATTAATAATTAATTCCTTTTTAAGTTAGCAATTTCACACTATTAACATTACTGTCATGAAAAAGTAAATAAATTTGATGAGTGGTAATTAAAAATAAAATGATCAAATGAGTTTAATATTATTGAATAGAAAATGAATTACAATTGAATAAATTCGATTATTTCGCTTTTTTTCCTTCCTCTTTTTTCATATTTAATTAACAAAAATTTGTTAATTATCATTAATTACTTACGGTAAAAAATGGCATTTCAGGTTCATAGCTGCTGAGTAATAATGAACCAGCGATAACATAAATGATAAATAGTACGAAAAGTGATAATGTTCGATTTGTTTGTTCATTATCATCACTTATTTCTGAGTTTCCATCCATTCCATTAATCTTAATTTTATGAATTTTTCATTTTATTTTATGAATTTTTTTTTTTGCTTTATGAATTTTTAAATGAATTTTATGAATTTTTTTTTTCATTTTATGAATTTTAAGAGTTCTCTTT